GAAAAACTTTTCCAAGCGCGTTTTCACTTCTTCGACGTTGTTGAAGTTTTTACCTCTTAATGTATGCTCTAACGATCTGAAAAAGGTAGTAATCCGACGCCGCGAGATCTGGTGAACATAACCTTATTCACTAGAAGAAGCGAAAACGCGCTTGGAAAAGTTTTTCAATGTAGAACCGAAGGACTTTTTTAAAAAAAGGAATCGAACAACTGCCCATACGCTGGCAAAAGGTGTTATTAAAAAATGATGGAAATTATTTTGTCGATTAAAATGTAGGATTTCTTTAATAAATAAATGTTTTTCGCCAACAACAGAAAAGATTTTGATTACTTTTCGGTTTACTTAATATGTAATAATATAATATAATTATATATAATAACATAATTTATATAATTCATCGACGTGGGCCGGGTGCCGAGATTTCGGGTTCAAATCGGGTCGGGTGTTTTCTTCGGGTTCGGGCCTGGGCCCGAAACTTGTGGGTGCTCGGGGGGTGCTCTTGAAATCGAGAGAATTTTTCGGAGCCTGAAATCCTAAAAGCGGATTGGGAAGTGTTTATCCAGAAATATTATAATTATTAAATTATATTATTATTTATATTATATTATTATTTATATTTTATTATTATTTATATTTTATTATTATTATTTAATTATTATATTATATTATTATTAAAATATTATAATTTCATAAATCCAGAAATGTATTGTACATTCTACAGGGCGTCCTAAAATTATTGCACAAGCCAGAAATGAGGCTATTTTCTTCAGGTGCCCGAGCCTCGGGTCAACTGCCCGAAATTCCCGCGCACCCCTAATAATTCACATAATCGGAACAAAACAGAAAAGCCGACGCTAACGTCTGAAAAATCGAAAAATATGATTTCGAGCGCATCGAATAAAAATTCGAGTATTTAACGAGAGCTTAAATGCTTTTTCCGTTTCCGACGAGCGAATCGGTGAAACATCGCCTTCGATCATTTTTGTTGGGTTTTGGAAGCTGAATAGGAAGCGAAGTAATTTGTGGAATTAAAGGTAAATAAAGAATCGAACTGATAAGCGGATATATTAGCCGGTGTTGCGATTTCATTGGATTTTATTGTGGGAAAGTGAGGCGATTGATCGAGCATACAGTGCTAAAATGTAGCAGAACCGTGTGTTTCCGGTGTTTTTGCCTCGAGACGTATGCAAATATGCTAGCGAGTTACCTGGCTCGAAGGTACTCAGCTTACGCATTAATTAATATCGGTTCCCCGATCAACTGCAATCAGTTTATTTGTTCAAACTACCGCACAACATGCATCGCTGGTTAAGGTAATAGTTGCGAGCTTCGCCGAACACGGGACCGTACGAAACAGGAGTGTTTGCTGATTTATTTTGCAGGTATACTGAACTATTACTGGCAGATATTAGCTCGGAAATTATTATTAAATAGCCGAGATGGTAACAACGTTGAACGGTCGAATAATTCAAGATGAAAATTTTCAAGAACGGCGAGCGAAAGAAAATTGTGGGGATATTTGAAACACAAAATATCATAATTTTATTATCGAGTTGGCAAGAAAATAATTTCGTTTTGCACTAATAGATAGCATTATGCTTGCGTTGTAATTCTTTTGTCAAGGTTATAATTTTTTAACAACGTTAAACGATCGAATAATTCACGACGAAAATTCTCAAAAGAGAAGGAATTTTCATGAACGGCGAGAGAGAGAGAGAGAGAGAGAGAGAGAGAGAGAGAGAGAGCGAAAGAAAATTGTGGGGATATTTGAAACACAAAATATCATAATTTTATTATCGAGTTGGCAAGAAAATAATTTCGGTTTGCACTAATAGATAGCATTATGCTTGCGTTATCATTCTTTTGTTAAGGTTATAATTTTGTCAGCTTTGGTAATTGACACATTTAGGTTACTATAGAAACAAATTCCATGCAGTTTCGTTTACAAATGATAGTTTTTTAATTAATTTAGATAATCTTTTCCTTAATTTCGTTCCGAAGATTTTTTTCCACAGAATGGAAAATATTTAACCGATTATAGTTCATTTCTCGTATAGAAAAAATTGAGTTTCATTTCACATTGAAATACCGAAAATACTTTCCTGCCAATCCAATAATATATGATATAAAAAGAGCGTGTTTGCGGGTATAAAAAATGTGTTCCGAAACAGAATTAAATTTAGGCTATATAACTGGAAGAATAGGCGAGTCAGCGGCGAAGGATCGATAACAGTGGGAAAACCAATTAAAAACCGCGAAAATAGAGACCGGTGGAGAAACTCCGTAATTAAAAACGGGAAAAAAATCGACGTAAACGAAAGACAGGAAAATTTTATGGACGGAAGAAACGGTTGGGAAACTGAGAAAAGGAAAGAACCGTACGAAATCAGAAAGTGAGGAGCCAAGTTTAAATGAGGAAGTAAGAAGGAAATGGTGAGGAGCTGAAAATCAAGCTGGAAGAGGCGCAAATCGAACTATTTATTAAAGAGGGAACGAAGCGACGCTGTTAGAAAAAACTGATAGTTTGGAAAACAAAAAGTAACCGGGAACGTAGCGGTGCGGAACAGCAGGAGTCGACAAAACGGAAGTAAATATACAGGGTGTCCCAAAAATGTCTCGCAATCCGAAAGTGGCGGGTTCCTCGGGTCGTTTGAAGCAACTTTTTCCTTTGCAAAAATGTTCTCCGAGGCACCATTAACGAGTTATTAACGAAAAACAGTGACCAATGAGAGGCGAGCTCGGCTGGCGCGAGGCGACCGAGCCAATGAGCGGAACTGGTCTTCGTGCGCTGATTGGCTGGGCCGCCTCGCGTCAGCCGTACTCGATTCTTATTGGTCACTGTTTTTCGTTAATAACTCGTTAACGGTGCCTCGCAGAAAATTTTTGTAAAGGAAGAAGCTGCTTCAAATGATCCGAGGAACCCGCCATTTCCGGATTGCGAGACATTTTTGGGACACGTTGTATACAGAAAAATGTAGCAAGGGAAACACGCCGAAGTCCGAAAACCACGAATGGAAGACGCGTGTTTTCGGTCCTAGCTTCTCGAATATCCGTGGCAACAATGTAGCCCATTGTTTGGTCCACCAAATCATCTGAAAAATCGGGAATATTGCTCGCATCTCGTCCGCACAATACCGCGGAGAACAACGGGGACGCGTTCCGGCAAAAAGCATTATCATCGACACGTGGCGAAATAAATTAGCGGGGCGACAAAGGGGTGCCGATAACCGAAGTCGCTGAATCGGGGCCGGTTTGGAAAAACAACGGCGTTGCGGCGGCGGCACATATGGCGTCAAAGGATCCATAAATCACGAATTTTCGGCCGGACAAAGGCGCGGTGTCGACGAGAGAATCTGCGGTTTATAAAATTGCGATTAGCTATCGCGTACAAACGATCGGAAAATATTCATAATTATCGCGCGCCGTTTATTCGGCTAACGGTGATGAATCGAACGGAATAATAATGTAAAACGATGAATTTCATTCACCGATGAATTAACAGCCCCTCGAGAGACGGCGCGCGACCTTTATCCTCTGGAATTTCTTCGCGCGACCAACGATCACGAAGATATTGAAATGCTCCCCGTTTTAAATGTTCCCAGCCTGTACGCGTTAATATCGCGTTCGGTGGTCCGGTGATTTATTCACCGGCATCGGAACTCAATTATCGAGTAACATTTTGACCAGTTAGCTGCGGCGCCTTCTTTTCAGTGCGCGCGCCTATACGTGTCGCGAGAATCGAGCGACGAGTACACTCCTCGAACGCAGAGCAAGTGTCGCTGTTGAAATATTGAATCGAAAAGACGGTTTTATTTGATAAAATTGTCAATTTTATTACTAATATTCACTTGTTCACTTAACATTCAAATTGCTGCTGTAGAGTGGTATTCGGCGAAGCAAGGACGATACGTAATGGCACTTTGAACGTTGAACATCGACATCGTGATTCTTTCCTAATCTTATTTTTATAACAATGTAAACACCTTCGCGTATAGGATCGGCCTCAAAATATTCTAAACATCTTGGAATTTGAGAATACGTTTTTGTTTTCACTAAAATTATAATTTAAATAGCCAATGCTCGCTACTTTTATGCTCGTCGTAACACAAAATACAGTAATTTCTCCCTAATTCGCGCTCAGATTGCGCAAGGAAATGAACAATTTTGTTGTTGACAATCGGTAAGTATAGAAACGAGCCGCAAGATTTGAATAATCGTATCTTCTCTTCCCAAATTGTCTATTTTTGTGCGCAGTCTACAAGCGAATTAGGGAGAAATTACTGCAATCGTGTCTCTCCTTCCGAAATTGTCCATTTTTGTGCGCAATCTAAGCGCGAATTCGGGAGAAATTACTGTAATCGTATCTCTTCTTCCGAAATTGTCCACTTCTTTGCGCAATCTAAGCGCGAATTCGGGAGAAATTACTGTAATCGTATCTCTTCTTCCGAAATTGTCCACTTCTTTGCGCAATCTAAGCGCGAATTCGGGAGAAATTACTGTAATCGTATCTCTTCTTCCGAAATTGTCCACTTCTTTGCGCAATCTAAGCGCGAATTCGGGAGAAATTACTGTAATCGTATCTCTTCTTCCGAAATTGTCCACTTCTTTGCGCAATCTAAGCGCGAATTCGGGAGAAATTACTGTAATCGTATCTCTCTTTCCCAAATTGTCCATTTTTGTGCGCAATCTAAGCGCGAATTCGGGAGAAATTACTGTAATCGTATCTCTCTTTCCCAAATTGTCCATTTTTGTGCGCAATCTAAGCGCGAATTAGAGAAAAATTACTGCAATCGTAACTCTTCTTCCCAAATTATCCATTTTTATGCGCAATCTAAGCACAAATTAGAGAGAAATTATTGCAATCTTATCTCCTCTTCCCAAACTGTCCACATTTGTGCTCAACCCGAGCGCGAATTAGGGAAAAATTCCCGTACTGCCTTATCGTACGCGAATCGACGACATTTATTACCAAACACTGTGTTGTTCTCATCCTGTTTCAGGGTCCCTGCTGTACATCGGGCTGCACTCTGCGCAACGGCGATAAGTGCCGGGACGACAACGGGTGCAGAGACGCGAGCTTCTGCGACGGCCGCGGTCCCCAGTGTCCGCCATCCATCAGCAAACCTAACAAGACCATATGCAACGACGAGTTCGTCTGCTACATGGGGGTGAGTTGTAGACATTTCCCTGTCCCCGCCCCCTTCTTCCGCGGCCACCCGCGGCAAAGTTCCGTCGCGCCTCTTTGGACCACCTTTTCACGCGAGCCGTTGATGTACGAGCGGAAGTTTACGAAAGTGGTCAATCCATTTGCCTGTCAGATTCCGCGGCCATCGGGCAAACTTGCGGCGCGCGGATCTTTATGATCGCTGATGTCCCTGTCGCCGAAATACCGGCGAAGCCGCGCGCACCCCGGCTCCGCAAAACCCGGCTAGATTACATCGAATCGGCCCGGTCCGTCGTTTCGCAGCCGCGCGGGGCGCAATTTTCGGCTTAGAATATCGGGGGGAGGGGGGCCGGAGGCGTCGCCCTGATAAAGACTTAGCCGCGAGCCGAATGAGGAACAACGAGTTTGCCCGAACAGTTCCAAGTCCCGTTTCATCAGGCTCTACGAGCGAATTTATGAAATCGTTGTAGCGCCGGCGACAACCCCGGCGAAATTACTCGCGTCGATTTACGATTTTCCGCCGGCAACGCCGGTAGGGTTGCCTGGTTTCTTATTCATTGGATCCGACGCTTCCCGGCCGTCGTTTCCGCGATCCCAGCAGAAACCGTGGCGCCGATACACGCGCGAGATCAAAGTTACAGCGTTTGGTGAAACGAGCGCGGCGGATACGGTAATGTCTCCCTAATTGACGCTCAGATTGTGCGCAAAAATGGACAATTTGGGGTGAGGAGACACGATTGTTCGATTTTATCAGAACGCTTAAATAATCGTATCTCCTCTTCCCAAATTGTCTATTTTTGTGCACAATCTGAGCGTCAGTTAGGGTCTCTCTCTCACCCTCTCTCTCTCTCTCTCTCTCTCTTTCTTGCTCTCTCAAGCACTCTCAAGCTCTCTCTCTCTCTCTCTCTCTCTCTCTCGATCTTGCTCTCTCTTGCTCTTTCTCTCGCTCTCTCTTGCTCGCTCTCTCACTCTCTCAAGCTCTCTATCTTGATCTCGCTTTCTCAATCTCTCTCTCTCTCTTTTCCTCTCTCAAGCTCTCTCTCTTAATCTCGCTTTCTCAATCTCTCTCTCTCTTTTCCTCTCTCAAGCTCTCTCTCTCTCTCTTCCTCTCTCTTGATTTCACTCTCTGGAGGCAATTCTCTCTTCGAAGGCAATTCAAAGCTCTGCGATTTTTCTTACTTGACTCACACCAAAACAGATCATTTTGTGTAGTCCTTTGAAAATTCGCGTCGCGTGCCTCATCACACGCTTGACCGACACCATTGACCCTTAGCATCGACGTAGCAATAAATAACATAGGCGTAGCACTAGCACAGGGAAATTCACAGTAACCCGAAATTTGGCATTTCCGGGAGAAATTACTGTAACCCGTTACACAGTTTCGTGAATCGCCCTGTATACCGTCCTTAACCGTCCTTCCGATATTCCCTCGTCTACCGTAGGCCCCATTGTATAACAACCCTACCGATGAGTCCTCCAGCGGGACCAGGACGAAGCGCTCTTCGCTTTCTTCCCCCTCGCTCTTCCATCATTCACAGCGCATCATTTACGAGGCTATCGCGGGCCTCTTGCGATATCGAACTGGCCAAAGATCCGACCCAGAATTCCCGACGAGCCGCGCCTCTATCCAGCGAATTTCCCCGAAAAAAAGCAGCCGTTCAAGGGATCAGCTCGAGCGCGATCAGCAACGCGTTCAAATATCCATTAGTCCCTCGATTGTGCCGCGCAAAAAGATCCGCGGTGCTCCGCGAATGAAACGAGCGGGGCTTTAGGATCGGTTCAGAGAAGAATCCCCGGGGGAGCGATCTCGAACGGTACGCGTGGCGTTTTCCTACGCGTTCGCCTTTCTCTCTCTCTCTCTCTCTCTCTCTCTCTCTCTCTCTCTCTCTCTCTCTCCTCCCGTCTCCTTTCGCCTATCCCTCGAGCCGAGCCTCGGCAGTTAGATCCAAGACTCCGTGGGTCTCCGTGGAAACGCGTAGGCAGAATGAAACACCCTTCAGCCGTTCGAAGCATATTCATCTGTCAGGAAACCTCGAGACGCCCGATCGAGTCGGCGCGCTGGCTAAACCGCGCTGGGAATACAGACGAGGGTTCCGGCTCGTTTTTCCTATTGCTGGCAGACAGGAGCGATACGTCATTGTTTCCTGACAAATTCCGAGTACTCTGCCGGGGGTGGTATTACTTAGCCGCGCCGATCATTTTGACCGGGGTAGGCTTAGCGTCAACGAAAATTTTCGCCGAGGAAAATGTTGCAATAAATTCTCCCAAATATAGCCCCTGTCAGAGGTCTGCTCGCGTCTTCCCTTTGTTATTTCTACGCCCATGTGCGTCATTCCTACGCCCATGTGCGTTACACCTACGCCTATGCGACTCTGAGACAGCACTAAAAATTGTTGCATCGTGTATCACAATAATGTTTACACTGGCATAACTTGTTTATATTTTTTCAACAAAGTGTTAAAAGCGTAATTGTTGTACTATTCACAAGGATCAATTTCATGTGTATAAAATGCAATAAGTCGTATAAAATAGAAATACTATATAGATCGGAGGAAGTTATTTTGGATTTAGAATTAAAATGGCTTCGAATGCAAAGGGATAAGAAAAGTTAGTTTTTATTCTAGCATTATTGTGCATTTGTATTAACATATACCAATTCGCTGACTTTTAAGTTTGTCAACTGCTACGATTTTCGTGCTCTCTCTCTCTCTCTCTCTCTCTCTCTCTCTTTCCCTCGCTCGCGCTCGCTCTCACTCGTTCTCTCTCTCTCTCTCTCTCTCTCTCTTGATCTCGTTCACTTAAGCTCTCTCGTTCTCTCGATCTTGCTCTCGCAAGCTCTCTCTCTCTCTCTCTCTCTCTCGATCTTGCTTTCTCAAACTCTCTCGTTCTCTCGATCTTGCTCTCTCAAGCTCTCTCTCTCTCTCTCCCTCTCTCTTGATCTCTCTCTCTCTCTCTCTCTCTCTCTCTCTCTCTCTCTCACGAGATCTCGACAACTATGAAAGTGATCCGCCAGAATCATGTCTAGTCTTCCCAAGTTTTCCCATTTTCAATTCCAAGCTTAGAGACCACAGTAAATTCTCCACAATTGTCCCNTAGGAAGCGCGAATCGAGCGTACAATAGTTCGGTCGCGCATGTACGTTAGGCGACTAACCGAACGTACGGACAAAACAAACAGAAGAATCAAATTTAACTTCCATTTACAAGAAACGATTTAGTAGATTACGTGTTAACGAGTCTGAGTCGTTGTTACAGTTCAAACAGTACAGTAAATTCTCCACAATTGTCCCTCAGCTTGTAAACAAAAATGGACAATTTGGAACGAGGAGATACGATTATTCGAACCTCTCAGCTCATTTTTATAATCGCCAATAATTGTCAGCAACGATAAAAACCAGCCGCGAGGCTCGAATAATCATATCTCCTCTTCCCAAATTGTCCATTTACGTACACAACCTAAGCGACAATTGGAGAGAATTTACTGTATTTGAGAGAATACACTATACTTCGAATCACCTCTCGGAAATCATCGCTCCCCTTGTTTAACGATAGTCCTGAGACAATCTACGGAAATATCCGCCTCATCGAAGTGTCCAGATGAACAATTCTGAAATCCAAAATCGCTCGAAGGAGATCTCACTGACTCCAGCCAAGCTATGATAAGCGAAAGGGGACACGCGGGAAACGTTTCTCTCGCGGCAGAAAATAGAAAGAAAAAAAATTCGGTTCGATTTGACATCGTCCACGGATAGCGGAGGATGATTAAATAGACGCGGTCGGTAAACGCAACGTTCCATGAACTAAGAACATTACGTCCCGGGGCTCATTGTCCGCCGACGGCGCGGAAACGCGGAAGCAAATTGCGACCGGCAGCTGACTATCCCGTCTCAACCATGCAGGTATTGTACTTGCATATTAGAAAGCGGGCATGTCGGCGGTATCGATTCCCGGCCAGCAGTGCATACCGTCGAACTGTTGCACGTGTGCGGCCGAAACGCGTTTTCCGCTTGGCCGACCGTAATCGAATGTTTCTACTCGCAGCTGCAACCGGAAGAGATGACTCCGGCCCGACCCGGCCCGACCGTGCGGCGGTGCACCGCCGTCGCGGCTGCACCAGCCGGGGCTTTTTGTTTCCGAAGATACCACCGTGTAATTATGTGAGGCTCGCCCCGGCCGCGATACGGGCCTAATTCTTCGATAATTGGACGACGCGGAATCGATGCGATACAATGCTGTCCGACCGTTGCGGAACCAGCCGGGCCATCCGAACCCATTAACAGCGCCAATAAAATCCGGGAAACAATCTTGGCCGAGATAATTAGATTTTTATTCGACCCGATCGCTGCTGCTCGGGCTTCCGCCGCCGGTTGCTTGCCGGTTACGCGTTCCGCGAACTCCGTGTTACGGGAAAATCGTGTCACGACGAAAAAATTGTCCTCTCGTAATAGGGACAGCATTGCGATCGGAACGTGCAGACGAAACATTTTGTTCGGTATAAATTCAACGGAATAAGTAATTTAACGAATTCATATATTATGTGGTTATAATTTATTAAAATTAAACATTAGGAAACGCTTTTGATGGTTGTTGAATCGCTGTGACAGATGTGTTGAAGCAAGAGGAAATGATTTGGAATGAGACGAAACATGAGAATTTTTTCGACAATGCTGTTGAATGAAGACGTAGCATAGAAAAGTAACTCTAGAACGATCCGTTGGAACCAGAGATTCAAAATGGAAACTGCATTATACAGAGTGCCCTATAATTATATTAACACTTGGAAAGGTATGATTCCTGAGGTCATTTGAAGCAACTTTTTCCTTTGCGAAAATGCAATCCGCGGCTTCGTTTACGAGTTATTAACAAAAAACACTCGCCAATGAGAGGCGCGCTCGGCTGGCGCGAGGCGTTACAGTCAACGGGCGCGTGAAGCCCCGTTCCGCTCATTGGCTCGGTCGCTCAGCGCCACCCGAGCTCGCCTCTCATTGGTCGCTGTTCTTTCGTTAATAACTCGTTAACGGTGCCTCGGAGAGAATTTTTGTAAAGGAAAAAGTTGCTCCAAATTACCTCAGGAATCATCCCTTTCAGGGCGATAACATAATTATGCGACAATCTGTATAATACTTCGCTGCAATAATACTAGTATCAAAACCGTACCTTCCTTGGTACGTCCCCGCTTGGAACAGTCGCCGATTCCTCCCGAGATCGCTCGCAGATACGAAAGAAACATTCCAATAAGTCCGAAACGCTGGTGCTTGGAATTTGGCAGGACATTTCGTCGGCCACCGCGGGATCGAATAAATCTCCGAGAAATATATAGACCGGCGCGGGCACAGTCCTTTCTGTTAGTTACACCGTAAAACCGATAAAGCGGCGCGTCGCGGAGTTGCCGGTGACAAATGGCAGTAAAAGTTGCATAACGTATTCCAGCAAAGTGTCGGATAACGGCAGAAGCGCAGTCCGTTCCGCCGGCGTTCCGCGCGGCTCGGCACGCGAACGCGTTCATATCCTGCGACCAGGATCCTTTTTTCACCGGGCCGCGTTTCCGTTCGCCGGGACAATAAAGAGCGCAAACGGCGCTGGGAGAATTGGGACGCGCGCTGTCAGCGGCGTAGGAGGGGGGGGGGGCGAGGTGCCGAGGCGAATGTGTACACATCGTTGGACGATATGCGGGTACCTTGTTGCAGCGGCGTGCTGGCAAACAGGCGGCATAATTTCGAAAATTATACGGCTGGCAGGAAAGTAATTTCGGTATTTCGATGTGAAATCGAACTCAATTCTTTCTATACAAGAATTGAACTTTCATCGGTCAAGTATTTTCCATTCTGTTCAATTTTTTCTGTATAAGAAATGAACTTTTATCGGTCAAATATTTTCCATTTTGTTCATTTTGTTCTGTACAAGAAATGAACTTTAATCGGTCAAGTATTTTTCATTTTGTTCATTTTGTTCTGTACAAGAAATGAACTTTAATCGGACAAATATTTTCCATTCTGTTCATTTTTCTCTACACGAGAAATGAACTCTAATCGGTCAAATATTTTCCATTCTGTTCATTCTTTTCTATACAAGAAATGAACTCTAATCGGTCAAATATTTTCCATTCTGTTTCTTTTTTCTCTATACAAGAAATGAATTTTAATCGGTCAAATATTTTCCATTCCGTACATTTTTTTCTCTATGCAAGAAATGAACTTTAGTCTGTCAAATATTTCCCATTCTGTTCATTCTCTTTTCTATACAAGAAATAAACTCTAATCGGTCAAATATTTTCCATTCTGTTTCTTTTTTCTCTATACAAAAAATGAACTTTAGTGGGTCAAATATTTTCCATTCCCTTCATTTTTCTCTATACAAGAAATGAACTTTATATAATCGGTCAAATATTTTCCATTCTGCTCATTTTTTTCTATACAAGAAATAAACTATAATCGGTCAATTAACTTGTCTGTCAAATATTTTCCGTTCTTTTCGACGTCCTTTTACCATCTTTCTGACAACTTCATAATTCCGCGTTCATCAAATTTCCGGTTCTTACCACTAGTTCTTGACAATTCGTAACTACAAAAGCTAACCGCGAGGCTCGAATAATCTCCTCTTAATATCTCCTCTTCCAAAATTCTCCATTCCTGCTCACAGGAATCTTAGCGTCAATTACAGAAACATTACCATACTTTCGCGACGCGTCGCGGCCGATCTCCGCCGCTGTGTTTCAGCCGCGCGAACGGAGCGGAGGCTGCGTTCAGACGCGGCTCGCGCGAGCATAACGCTGGAGTCCTCGGGTTTATCTATCTTCGGCGGTGCCCTCCCTCCCCCCCTCCCGGAAATTACCTCGTATTTAGAGGTTTATGCATGTAGGCTGACACTTTATCGGGCTCTTGCATTGCTTCCAGGAATGCACCGGCAGCATTTGCCTGGCTTATGGCTTGGAATCCTGTCAGTGCATCGCCGGTCCCGAGGATCCTCCGACCAAGAGCTGCGAACTCTGCTGTAAATTGCCGGGAGAGGATCAACCGTGCCTGTGAGAGAGACGACGATCGTTTGTATATACACGCGGTTTCCGTCGGGGCGAGTGTCTGCGTCAGTCGTTTCGCTCCGGGAATAGTTTCTACGGCCGTACCCTGCGGAATGGCGGGACACGGCGCGGCGCGGCGCGGCGTGTCTCCCGGAACACGGGTGCACGAAGAAATTAGACCCCAAAGCGATAACCGCGCGAACACGTTTGATCGATTACATCGCCGGCTACTTTGCCGAGTCACTATGCTATACTACTCGGGCATGACTTTCGCCACGGCGAGCCGCAGACCCTCGACCTTGCACGCTCCGCGTTCACTCCGTTTCCAGCCGGAAACGCCGGGAACCGTTCGTTTTTAACCCTTTGCACTCGAGTGGCGACTCTGAGGCACCACTAAAATTGTTACACCATGTGCCAAGATTATTTTTATAGTATCAGAGCTTAGGTATAAAGAATTGTTAACCCTTTGCACTCGAGTGGTGACTCTGGGGCACCATTAAAATTGTTACACCACGTTCCAAGATCATTTTTATAATATCAAAGCTTAGGTATAAAGAATTGTTAACCCTTTGCACTCGAGTGGTGACTCTGGGGCACCATTAAAATTGTTACACCACGTTCCAAGATCATTTTTATAATATCAAAGCTTAGGTATAAAGAATTGTTAACCCTTTACACTCGAGTGGTGACTCTGGGGCACCATTAAAATTGTTTCATCACGTTCCAAGATCATTTTTATAATATCAAAAAAAACATGAAAGAATAACAAATACAGTGGAATCGCGTTGTGCGAGATATACAGGGTGTCCCAAAAATGTCTCGCAATCCGGAAATGGCGGGTTCCTCGGATCATTCGAAGCAGCTTCTTCCTTTACAAAAATTTTCTCCGAGACACCGTTAACGAGTTATTAACGAAAAACAATGACCAATAAGAATCGAGTACGGCTGACGCGAGGCGGCCCAGCCAACCAGCGCGCGAAGCCCAGTTCCGCTCATTGGCTCGGTCGCCTCGCGCCAGCCGAGCTCGCCTCTCATTGGTCACTGTTTTTCGTTAATAACTCGTTAACGGTGCCTCGGAGAAAATTTTTGTAAAGGAAAAAGTTGCTTCAAACGACCTGAGGAACCCGCCACTTTCGGATTGCGAGACATTTTTGGGACACTCTGTACATTGTCAAGCCACTTCGCGAGAGCTGTGCACTTCTATTCCGCAACAGCTAGGCCGCGAATTTCGTGATATCCTTCGCGGGGTCTGGAAGGACGTTGTTGATAATTCCTTGGGCGCAAATATTAATGGCAACGTACGGACGACGGTTGAACGGCTAGGTCTCGTGTCTCGGTTAAAAATCGATCGAGATTTCGTAGAACGATGGGAGTGTGACAGACGGCTGCCGCGGAACAGTCAAACATAGGGGCGCAGATCAGATAAGCCAGACGTCACAGGAGACCCGTTCCCTTTGCAGGTCGTCGTTCGCATGGAACTCGGCGCCCTACGATGTTCCTGACATGCTGTCGAAGCCAGGCACGCCGTGCAACGACTACAATGGCTATTGCGACGTCTTCCAAAGATGTCGAGAGGTAAGATATTCTATCCGTCCCGCTGGTCCCGGCGTCCTTGACAGACCGAATCACGGCCGACTTGAACGCGATCAATTCGCGAACCATTCATTCTTTGTATTCTGCAAAATGTCTGACCCTTTCTCGCTATTTTTAGGTTTTGCCGTTGCTTGGAATGGCGAATAAGATAAAAAGAACTGAGGCTTTTTTAACTTTCTCGTCTGTGCTTGTAACACAAATTTTTAAAATGCCTCTCGAAGATCTTGGTAAGTTTATATGCGAGCTGAAAATTCGATCGAAATCGATTAATCCAGAGTCGAGCTACTGGCGGTGAAAGATTTGAAAAACTGCAGATTTCTTCCGGTTTTTGGTCAAGATCGTGGTAAAGTGCGAGTTTTGCCATTATTAATTTGTTATAACTCATATTTAATATATAATATAAATATATATTTAATATATAATATAAATATATTTTTAATATATAATATAAAAATATATTTAATATGTAATATAAATATATACTTAATATATAATATAAATATATATTTAATATATAATATAAATATATTTTTAATATATAATATAAAAATATATTTAATATGTAATATAAATATATACTTAATATATAATATAAATATATATTTAATATATAATATAAATATATTTTTAATATATAATATAAAAATATATTTAATATGTAATATAAATATATACTTAGTATATAATATAAATATATACTTAATATATAATATAAATATATTTCTAATATATAATATCATATAAAATATATTTCATATATTTGTCAGAACTCAACTGATTTCGATAAAATTTTCGACATACATATAAATTACCGAGATCTAAGAGAAAATTTGGCCGACATGAACGCGATCGATCCGCAAACCATTCATTCCTTGTACTCTGCAAAATGTCTATCCCTTTTTTGCAAGAACAATTTTACAAGAAGAAGAGCAACGCGAGAAGTTTCGCGACAGGTTTCGTCGAATTGCTTAGACCTAACTTAGAATAATTATTAGACTGCGGATTTTATGCTTTTGTGGCGAAAATCGGTGATTGAAATGGAAGATTTCAGAGACCTAAGAAGAATTGAATCATTATATTACGCTACTTTCAACTTGCCAAAATTATTAAAAGGAACAATTTATCTTAATTCAATTTCTGTCTCGTACAGTCGGCTTTAAAAATTTCTATTTTGCATAAAGGTCCGCGCTCTAACGATTGCACGTACAAATTCATGCATAAAACTTTTATACATTGTAATATTTAATATTTCTCTACATTTCGCGGAAAACAATTTCTTAAATTTTAGTCTCTGTTATTTTGTACGGGGTGTCCCGAAATTATTGTACGAGCGAGAAATGAGAGGTTCCTGAAGTGATTTGAAGCAACTTTTTCCTTAGCGAAAATGGAATCCGCGGCTTCGTTCACGAGTTATTAACGAAAAATACTGACCGTAAGCTTAATATTAAATTAATTTTATATGATAAAAGGAACAAATTGATAGACCAGAATCTAGTAAAAATAATTGTAAAAATATAAGTATGCTTCCATCACATCCTGTGACGTTGAAAGAAAATAAAATTAATTTTACACGATAAGAGAAATGAATTGACAGACCAGAATATAGTAAAAATAATTATAAAAATATAAGTATGCTTCCATCACATCCTGTGACGTTGAAAGAAAATAAAATTAATTTTACACGATAAGAGAAACGAATTGACAGACCAGAATCTAGAAAAATTAATCGTAAATATTGCAATGCAAATTACGGTAAATAGCAGCAGTAACAGTAGTGGTAGTAGCATGCAGTAGTAAATAGTGCAGATAATAAAACAATTTGCATATTGGTTTCATATTTTTTGCATAAATATTTCATATCCCTGAATATATTCTGCATTTTAATTTTACATGTATTTTGCATATTTCGGCACATAAATTTTGCATAAACATCCGCGGCCCACTGATAACATTTAAAAGAACTGCAAATATTGTACGCGCCGATAATAAATCACGCGAAATGAAAATACCACGGGTCTGGAAACAAGTTTTACATTTCGAATGAAAATAGCTTCGAGCGCAAAGCGTTAACCCTTTTCGCTCGAACGGTGACTCTCGCTCACCACTTGTTTTGTTGCGGCGACTCGAGTGGTGATTCTCGTATCACAATTCGATTTAACGCGCGCGACGGCGATGTTTAATTTGCGTTTAATTTCTAGCGGGCGAAAACTATATTTTTATTTATTTTATAAAACGGTAAAAAAGGCAGAAAAATGAACGGCCGCTTAGACGTCTGCGATGCGTGAAAATCTTAGTTGAGCAATTCAGTGGAGCAATTTTTGGCAGACTCGTGACTGAAAAATGTCTCGCAATCTGTAAAGGGCGATTCCTGAAGACATTTGAAGCAACCTTTTCCTTTACGAAAATGTTCTCCGAGGCGTCGTTTACGAATTATTAACGAAAAACACTGACCAATGAGAGACCCAGAGAGAACCAGTTCCGCCCAGTTCCGCTCATTGGCTTGGCCGCCTAGCGCCTAGCCTAGCGCCAGGCGAGCTCGCCTCTCATTGGTCAGTGTTTTTCGTTAATAACTCGCAAACGAAGCCGCGGATTGAATTTTCGCTAAGGAAAAAGTTACTTCAAATCACCTCAGGAACTTCTCATTTCCCGGAAATGCCATAATTTTGGGATACCCTGTACAAATAAATCAATGCAAAAAGTATGCAATATGCAAAGCATATACAATATGCAAAACATGCAGAAAAGAAGTGATATTTATGGAATAAAAATAATAAACAAATTTCTGCCCAACCCCCATAATTTATCTCTCTGCTATAAACATACGCATTTGCATAAATATCCGCAGTCTAATAATCATATTCGGCACTGTCAAAATTATTTGGATATTTATTTATATTTATTATATTATTATTATTATATTATTATAAATATTATAATATATAATATAATTATATATATTATATATTATATAATATTATAATATATAATATAATTATATTATTATATTATTATATATATATTATATATATATATTATATTATTTATATATATTTATAGCAATCTTTAATAGCGCAAAGTCGCCACTCGGATGCATGGGTTCAAGACGAAATTTTGTTTGCAGGTGGACCCAAGTGGACCATTGGCAACGCTGAGGCGGCTGCTGCTGTCGGATGCCAGTCTAGCGAACTTCCAGAGATGGCTGACCGATTACTGGTACATCGCGGCGTTGGTCGTCCTTCTTCTGCTGCTGATTTCAGTAAGTAAAAACGACGCGTTTCTCTATCCGATACTCGAAAAACGTTCGAACAATCCTCGGAACAGCGGAGATTCCACGCGAACAGGGAATAGCTCTCGCCGGTGATCCATGCGTTACAAGTTAAAAGCACCTTCCCGCCGCGGGGGACGCGCCGTGGACGCGTCGGACATCCGTGTAAAACCAATTACGTGTCTTGTCAATTAAAAAGTTGCGCGGACGCGCAAAGGGCCGCCGGGCCGTCCACGGTTCCGCCGCGAACGCAATTGTCGCGAGCGCGATTTTATTACCGGACTTTCTGTTTCCCGCGCGGGTCCCTCGGAACGCTCGCGTAACGTTCGACGGATCGGCCAATTTGATTTTCGCCCGTGCACATTTTTGTCCGCGGGCCCGGAAAAAAAACGCGCGCGACACGATATACAACCATCAGCCTGCGACTTTTAGCCAATGGAAGAAATTACATAGTTCGTCGCTTTGGTTTTCAAGGAATTAAATATAAACATGGCAGTGTGCGTGAAGATTCGTAGTTCGGTGACGATCGAACCTGCAGATTTTATGCGAGTATTTAAAAAAATACAGCTGCAATGTAAAACGGTGGATAGATCGAAAGAATTTCGGAACGTTGACGCATTAGTTTCGGTTCGTTAACCTTTGGACGGCGGACATTTTTGAGCATTTATGGCAGCCTTGGCTAGATCCATTCGAATCTTTACGATTAATTTTCATTTGTGTGTGTATTATTATTATTATTATTATTATCTTTGTTGAGATAAAAGTTAATCCTTTCATTAGTTTCAATATTAATAGTTAACAATTATGTACGTAAGACTGCTATAAAATTAGAATTTAAGTGGAATTTTTGTGATTCTGGATCCAAATGGACCCGGCGCCCGTTTTCCTGAAAAATGGTCAGACCCTTGCCGTACTATGAGGAGTCTGACTCGTGTTGGAGATTCTGACAGTAACCTATTAACTGTTATAAATACCATTAACTTGGCGCGAAAAATATATCAGATTCGTTTGACAGTTTAATGTCATTTTATACATATCAGTCAATATTGTTTATAGCAGGCTTTGCGTATTTTGTGTTTCATTTCTTTTCAAGTAGTGAACAAATTTTGAAATCATCTGTAAGTTGAACGCAACAAAATTATCATATATAAAGCATGATATTTTTAGTTTGGCTTTAATTTATTCTTCACACATTCCCTATTTGAGACTTTTTAAGAAATATAAGATATTTTAGCAATGAAACATAATTTGAATATAATATATATAATATTATTAATACAATATAATATTATTACATAATATTATTAATATAATATAATGTTATAATATTATTATTATATATAATATTGTTACATAATATTATTAATATAATATAATGTTATAATATTATTATTATATATAATATTGTTACATAATATTATTAATATAATATAATGTTATAATATTATTATTATATATAATATTGTTACATAATATTATTAATATAATATAATGTTGTAATATTATTATTATATATAATATTGTTACATAATATTATTAATATAATATAATGTTATAATATTATTATTATATATAATATTGTTACACAACTTTCTGTGCAAATATGTACATAACTTTTCCCGTCAAAAATTCAAAAATAAAAATTTGGCAGCTAATATGTTAAGTACAAATATTATTCTATGTTTTCGTCTCAGAATAAAATTCGGTTCTCTTGTCCTGAATATTTAAGCATTCGGATAAACGCGTGATAAACAATAGAACCGAAAAAGTTCTAATCATTGTAACGATGAACAAAATGGTATCACAAAGGGTTTCCTGTACGAATCTATAGTTCGCCGTGCAAACAATTGTTCCACACGAAGACCGGCCCAGTTCTTCTATTTTTCAACCAAGCCGGGACGTCGCGAATGGACACCGGTGTCCATAATTCAATGATTATAGACGCGAGATAGCGTGGTGGGCTTAAATATGTCCGGCGAAGCGCGGGAACATTACGGAACGGCAATTAAACGCAGGAAGGTGTCGCGGGAAATATATTGTACATTCGATTCCACGCAACTTGGCCAACTTCCGATCTGCGACGCCGCCAAAGCAGCAGGAAATTCATCCGGAGATAGGATTAGAGCGGCGGCGGCGGCGACGGTAACACGAGCCTGCGACGAATTATATTATAAATCGTATCCCGTGAGAGCTTTCCACTGCGACAACGTAACCATAAAGGCTTTTCTTCCGCGCCGGGCCCGCGGGAAAACGTGAGAACGTTGCGAGAAGTAGCGCGCGACTCGGCGAGTAAAGTGAATTCATTTTCGTTTTAACGACGGCTGAAAAGGTTCCGCTTCTTTCTTCAATCCTCGACGAAAGATCGACGAACATTTGTGAAATTCGATCCAGAGCCAATCTGTTAATGTCCGTAGCGTTTCAGGATCAAATTCACCGAGTGAACAACGATTTTTCATTTTATGAATTACGAGAGCAATGCTGTAAATAGCTGGACAACTAGGGAACAGTGGATATCATTTTTCGAAGCTATAGTTTTTATAGTTGTCGATTATCAACAATTTCCGGGTGTTCCAAAATTATTCAGATTTATAGAGGATTTTTTTTATAAAGGATGTCCCAAGATTATTGTACAAGTGGAAAATATGGGGTTCCTGAGGTCATTTGAAACAACTTTTTCCTTTGCGAAAATTCAATCCGCGGCTTCGTTTACGAGTTATTAAGGAAAAACGGTAACTAAAGAGAGAACGCGTACGGCTGACGCCCCGCCCTCGCAGCCACTGTCGCTGCGTCGGACGGTCAGCGCGACGCGGTATTGGCCGCAAGAGCAGAGCGCCGGCCGCACTCGCGCTCCGATTGGTCAGTGTTTTTCGTTGATAACTCGTGAACGAACCCGCGGATTGCATTTTCGCAAAGGAAAAAGTTGCTGCAAATGACTTCAGGAACCCCTGAATTCTCGCTTGAACAATAATTTCGAGACACCTTATATAAAAACGAGCCGCAAGGCTCGTAGAATCGTACCTCCTCTTCCCTGGTTGTCCATTTTTGTTTACAAGCTGCGAGACAATTAGGGAGAATTTACTGTAGCTCTACAGGGTGTCCCAAAAATATCTCGTAATCCGAAAAGTGGAGATTCCTAGGATCGCCTGAAGTAACTCTGTTTCCTTGTCGAAAAAACAATCCGCTCAGAAAAAAAGTTACTTCAAACGACCTCAGAAACCTCCCATTTCCAGAATGCGAGACACTTTTCAGCCACCCTGTACATTCGGAATAAAATAGGAATAAAAAAAGAATAAATAAAAAAATAAATAAGATTCGGAATAAAATAGAATAAAATATGAATAAAAATTAGAGAATAAAATACGACAACAGCTTCGAAAGGGATCGTTGCAACGATTCTACGAGCGTATCGCCGAGCAATCGCTACATGATCTCTGTTATTTCGCAGGTGTTCGTGATACGTTTTCTGAGGCAACGGCGCGGCGACCGCGTCAAAATTCTGTCCACGCCGGCGAGTCGGCCGAGGGCGGTCAGCCAGGCTGCAAACGCGACGGAGGATACGGCGAGGGAGTGCTCGTCCGTGCGGAAGATCCAGTCGATGGACATCTCGCGGCTGAAGAAGCGGATCGTCGAGACGATGAAGAGTATCGCGTCGACTGGCCGGAAGAAGGAGGCCTCCTCGGGGTCGAGCACGTTCCTCGGGAGGATCTGCCGGTTCCTGAGCAGGGACTCGAGCGGCATCGCCGGCTCGGAGGAGCGGTCCTCGAGCGAGCAACTATACAAAACCGCCGACGAAGAGAAGAAGGACGGGGCCGAGCTGCGGAAAGAGAAATCGGATGAGCCGAGAAAGACGACTGCTGGATGGAGGCGAATCTACCTGCTGCTCTTTCGCGGTCCGGGTGGCAGTTCCTCACCGAGAACGTCGAGCAAGGCCTGGCGAAGGAGCACGCAGGTCGAGAAGCTCTGCACCAGCTCCAAGACGATCGTGCACCCCTGCCGCAGGGGCGACAGCTACCAGACCGAACCCCTAGTCGCGCCAGACTCCCCGGACACCCCGAACGAAACCTCCGAGACCAGAATCCAGACCTCCGACCTGACAGGCTTGCTGGCAGACAGTTAGTCCCCTGGGCCGACGAGCTAGGAACCGTTCTGCGACCATTTCGAAGCACCTTTTCCCTTTCTAGAACGCTTCCGGGTCGAGGATTCCGTCGGGTTACCTGCAAAGGTAAAATTATTGAGGAGTCGTTCGGGAACGGCAGCGCGAGCGAACGCCTCGGCGAATCCGCTTCGATTTCTCTTTGGGTTCCCGCGCGGCGAAAACGAGGTGCCGGAGTGTTTCTATTGTTTCTTGTGTCGCGGGGTGTGCGAAATAAAAGACCGTCTTTTGTCGCGGAACGCGCTTGAATGCGGAGAAACGAGCAGAGCCGATTGTGGTTCCTTTTGTTTCGCGGGATGTTACATATTTTTGTGATCGAACGTCGCTGTATTTAACGGATTGCTGAATGTTTCCGAGGACAAAGGGTCGCGCTAACCCGAGGTTTCGTAATGGACAACCACGATTCGAGCGCAGCGATCGTTCCCCTCGCTCTTATTATTCGGCGGAATTCGATTCGCGCGAACGTGCCGCGACAAAAATTTGTACGGTTCGGAGCGAACGGCGACGATGATTTAGCGCACGGTCGCGGGAACGACGCGGCCAACGGCCGCCGCTTCGGGGAAACTTGGATTGTAATTTTCGTCGGCGGAGGAGCGGTTCCCGGAACTGTGTACCGAACTTAGGTCTAAGGAGACAATATTTTATCTCCACTTGTGTAATAAAGGGATCGATTCCGGCGGGAACCAAGCGTATTGAGCGCCCGAGTTCCCCGCGTGTAAATATTGTACAGACTCTTGTACCGCTGTCGCAATAGATTAGTTTCTAGAAGTAAGAGAGTTGCCGCGTGGAAGCTCGCGCGCGGGCCGGAAGTTTGCGGAACGGTGTGGATTCTTGTGATTCCGTGTAGTCAGACAGCTCTTCGCGTAGGAGCGGACCAAACATAGGAGGCGGAGAGTCCGGCGCTGAACTCGTAGATGTGTATATAAACGAACGATTGTTACTGTACAATAAATCGTATGTCATCATTCACTATTGGAAGGCGAACGATTAATTCGTCATCCCCTCCCGAAGTCACTCCCAAGCTCCCTAGCGACGAGTCCCTCTTACACGACGTTGTGTTGCACGCAGGACCGAGTGAACGAATTTATAAGGCGAAGTTCATCGACACGCTTCGACAAATTTTAACTTCACAACCATTGGCTCGGTACGATCTTCGATTTAAAATAGTTCAATGATCGAGGATAAACAAATTTTTTAACTTCAACAAATTTTAACTTCACAACCATTGGCTCGGTACGATCTTCGATTTAAAATAGTTCAATGATCGAGGATAAACAAATTTTTTAACTTCAACAAATTTTAACTTCACAACCATTGGCTCGGTACGATCTTCGATTTAAAATAGTTCAATGATCGAGGATAAACAAATTTTTTAACTTCAACAAATTTTAACTTCACAACCATTGGCTCGGTACGATCTTCGATTTAAAATATTTCAATGATCGAGGATAATACCGATTTCGGGTCGCACTGCGTGTAGGTTGGCTGCTGGGATCTCAAAGGAAAGCAGATGAAATCAACGGTAAATTGATAAAACCAACATTCCCTTAGCATGATGTAAGGTAGATGGAGACGAAGTTTCATCGGAGTTCCTTTTTACATCGATCTACAAAACGCTTAACAACTATGTACTCTTAAAGTAATATCCTGGGGTCATAGACTCTTGATACACTCTTGATCTTCTTCCCTGATCTCCTTTCTTGATGCTTATATCATAGTCTGGCAAACACAGGTATTGAATTTTTTGATTTTCTGATTCGAAGGAGTGGCCTGTGTAATTCTTATGCATAAGAACATAAGTATTTATTATTAATCAATAAATTTAATCAATTAATTAATAATATATTTATTATTAATAAATATAATTTCCTGTCTAAATATCAATCACCTTATTTGAGGTCCGATAAGCTAGGTCCCACGAAGTCGTCTGATATGCAAGACGAAGGCCAGTAATAGAAATCAAAATATTGTATATGAGTACCAATTAAATCAGTAAGAACTGGATTTGAGAGAAACGAGTCCTTTTCATCCCTGCCGATAGTACAAATCCTGTGGATTACGAAACAGAAACCAGACGAGTTAAAATACAATAAAATTTGACGTAACACCTTCACCTAAGACGATCCTCTTCACTTCTTTTTCTACCCGTATCGGCAGAGTGCCCTAATTTTGTCATAATTAATGTTTTTCGGCGACCCTGCATTTTGCATATGTGGCGCCTCTGTTGGAGAATAAATGAAGCTTCACTCGATATATCCGTACAGTGCCACTAACGGCGAAACGCTCAAACTGTTAACCAAAATCAAATGTCGGTAATTTGGCTACAGATAGTGGCATAGTATACAGAACAAATGCTAACATTGCAAAACGTAATCAATTGTTCTTTAAAGCTGGGTTAAATGTTTTTTTTTTAATTATATAAGCTTTAGACCATATCTGGCCTATAGCAATCATACATAGGCGTTACAATATTTAATATTGTATATCACAGATTTCAACAATCAAGGTTATTGCAGTCATGTAGTTCATATGTTGTGACCTTGAACGACCTTCATTTATAAGTCATTGTATTCGTCTTGATTTTTTCATTTGTACACTTTATATTTTCTATTAATTACTTAGATCTCAGCCGAAATTCCATGAAGCTACGATCGATATTCGTACAACGCCACTAATGACAAAACTTTCAAACTGTTAACCAAACTCGAATGTCGGTAATTTGGCTTACAGTTAAAGCAGTATGCAAGATCATCAAAAAACATGAATTATGACAAAATTAAGGGAAAAATAACTAAACCAAGGGTACGGAATTGTTCAGGAGAACCTACTGTGTCGATATGGTATACAGAAACAATTAACAACATTGCAAAACGTAAACTAAAATACATTTAGTTTTGTTTCACTAAATACATATAGTTGCATTCATTAAATACATTTAGCGTTGTCATTTGATTTTTTTACACAATGTCGATGTGAATGAACAACAGTTCATTCCTCCTGAACAGTTCTATGCCCTTGATTTAGATTTTAATATAATGTTTTTTAGCGACCCTGACACTAGCAGCGCAGAACGCTCAAACTATTAGTAAAAATCAAATATCGGTAATTTGGCTAACAATTCGAGTGTTTTACCGCTAGTGATGCTGTACCGACATCGAACGGAGCTTCATTTTTTCCCCAAAAGAGACGCCACAATCAAAATTGGCTACCAGTTCCAGCTTTCTGCCACAGATGGCATCGTTAAATTGTGTCGTATGCGAGGTTATGTTCACTGTATTTTTAAATTTATAGCTCTCCTTGTTCTGCTGTTCATTACATTCTAAATACGTAAACTAAAAATAAACGAATCATTGAGTGTTGTACAATATCAAAGTTTTCTAATTAAACTATAAAATGTCCACTCGGTGGTACGTACGATTATTGTAATACGAAAACAAGTAACTTTCTCTCTCACAATGTTATTAAAAGAATTCTGTAAGATATTAGTATCGTATTCATTGTTATAAATAGTGTTGGTCTTTTAGGTACCCCTTGTACCAAGCTGGTAACCCACAGCTTAGAATTTACCTTCCAAACTTTTGGATGAAACTTATCGAATATAAAAAGCAACCAGAATCTGTTGTCACATTCCACTGTTCAATAGAGATGACAAAGTACGACGTTCGTAATTATTTAGAAAAGATCTACAATGTGTTTCCAGCTGATGTTAGAACTAGAATTGCAAGTGGAAAAACAAAAAGATGTCCAAAATATGGATGTGTAATTAAAGATGATGACTATAAAGTAGCTTATATTTCATTGGTAGGCAGAACATTTGATCCCGTTCATGTTTAATCGGAATTAAGCAGACTGTTATTGCATATATTCATATGTATTCTTTATACTTACAGAAACAGGGTGAGAAATTCACGTTCCCAAATCTGTTCCCGCCACAAGAAGAAAAGAGCGATGAAGAGCAGCAGGAAGAGTTGCTGAATGAATTCAAAAAATATGTGGAACCAAATCAAATGCCAGGTTTACCCACTTGGTTTAGAATATAATAAATTCAATTGTACATTTTAAAAAAAATAAACATCATTTAATCTTGCGCATCAGTCGTTGAATATCCTTACATTTGATAACTTCGCTTAATACTGATGTATGTACGAAAAAAAAAATACATATTAATGGATATGTGTATAACAAAAATAAAATATAGTATTCACAAATAAAAAGTAATATGCATATTCTAGGCATCTAATACTTAAATATTTGGAATACATTAGTTTCTTGAATAGCTTTAAAACTCAGTCAGCATAAATCCGTACGTTCTGCACTGTGGACACTGCGCAATATCAAGCAAGAAAATTGTCTGGAAACGGAAAGAAAGCGATCAGTATAAATAGATTAAATATAGAAAACAATGTCACGGTTAAAAGATGATTATGAAAGGAGGGAACAAACCTGTGGATGAACAGGACAAAAGTAGCGTACTCTGCCTGTTGTCAAATATCCGCAAACGTTGCAAAGCACGGAGGAATGAGGCCTATGGCAGAGACATTTGTCAGGTAACAAAGAACTGATAGCTATTCCTCTGCCTCTGGCTACTCTCGGAGGGACACTTTTTCCACAAATCGGACTGGAATACATTCTGCAAGCTACCGTGTCTCATTAATTTTTGAAACGATTAACACGAAAAATAATTATTATTAAGTGATACAAAAATAGAGAAGAAACTCTACGGAAGCAATAACTACGTATTTAGCATCTTTCTAAACAGAGCAGACAGAAAGGTGTTAAAATTAAACGGGCACTTTCTATACCATATATTCTGTCTGTTCATAAACGGTTCGTTAACGAACGACTGCACTTCGAATTGTAAATTCATGACACAAATTCCTACGTGCGAACGTGATTCATTCTGTTCTATTCGTAACGCCTTTGATACTCTTGAGCCGTGTTAATTTCCGGCTGGCCGGAACACTACTTGCGTACCCGTTGTCTGATCTCTGATTGTTCGTTTGTGCACACGATTTGATAAGACGCAGTGCATCGGTCCTACCTCCACAATGTTGTTCGCAAATTATCGTTGAATCGAATTACTACGACTACTCGAATAAAATGACTTTTAAACGTGTGTTCAAACTTCGAATTGAAGATTAAACGGAACCCTCTCTTTTTTAATCCGAATCATAGTATTACTCGCGGTAAAATTTACCAGCGCGTAAAAGCTGCTGACTACTTACTTGTAATATTAGAAGTGCTCGTAATATTAGACGTCAACTTTCATAATTCCTTCAAGTGTAAATATACGTTAGCATCGGCCGTTATTCGAGAACACCGGTCACTGTAACATCGTTACGGTCAGGTATCAACACAATGAGACTGCGTGAGAGATAAAATAATAATAGAAAACGGATTGTTTTCACGTAAAAAAAAAATACCTAAATACGTTCTTTCTTTGGTAGAACCACTGCACGATCGGAGCGGTCTTACCGGTCGACAGGCTGGCGCGCTTCTGACAAATGAATATCGGCTTCCAAGAAATACATTCGTAGAAAGAGAACGAAGACAAAGTAAACACACTTGAAATTTGTCGGTTACCGAGTGGAAAGTAGCAAAAAATAAATAAGATAACTAACCTACAGTGCAACCAAACGCTGTTCTATTTTACATGAATTTTTTCTTGAAATTCTTGAAAAGCATGCAGAATTTGTTTACATCGAGAAGTTTTCACTGTAATCGTTATGGCAAGGAGGTAAAATTAAATTTGTTTTCATTGTTTTTAAGACTCTTAACGTTCGAATACGACATACATTATTACTATTATTATTATTATTAGACTGTATATTAGTGAGCTGAAAATTTTTATGCAAAATAAAAATGTTTTGCAAGAAATGTAGGGAATAGAAAACGAATAGAAATTTCTTACCTTGACTAAGTCTGTAAATTATAAGACTTGATATACATTCGATTTTAACAAGTAGTACATAAAATATAAATCTTCTTACTACTGTTGATATTAATTATTATTAATAATATTATTATTATTAATATTATAAATAATATTAATATTATAATATTATTATTAATAATATAGCTTAGATGTNTTACTATACTGTTGATATTAATAATAATAATAAAGCTTAGATCTCTAAATAAAAGACGAAGGTAAAGGCCAATATTTATCGCTTAAACGTAAAATGATCACACATTTTCATCCTAATCGCATTCCCAAGTACGAAATATCAAAAAATCCGTGTATCCACGGCGAATCGATCCAACTTGTGCTAACACATGGCGTCCGGTACTATCGCCGAAGGCAAACGTACTGCGAATTTAAGTTTATCCACGAATTACGGCAGGTAAAATAGAAAACAGCTTGAAAGAATTCATTCCAAAGTTTGCTCCGACAAAAATTTTTAATTTAAATCGAACTTTCAACAAACTGCTAAATTGAATCATAAGCAATCATCTTTCTTTCTATATATTCTACAATTTACTATTATTTACAATCACTATTTATTCTATAATTTTATATTCTTTCTCTCTAAATATTCTACAATTTACGAATATTTACTCTCTAAACATTCAACGCCGATCAATTGTTTATGAACGATTAAAATAGCAAATAGCTGTTCATTACTGACAATTTAATTAACTATTTGTTTATGCAGATAAATATTGGCCTTTACCTTCGTCTTTTAATTAAAGATCTAAGCTTTATTATTATTATTAATATCAACAGTATAGTAAGAATATTTATATTTTATGTACTACTTGTTAAAATCGAATGTATATCAAGTCTTATAATTTAAAGACTTAGTCAAGGTAAGAAATTTCTGTTCGTTTTCTATTCCCTACATTTCTTGCGAAACATTTTTATTTTGCATAAAAATCTTCAGCTCGCTAATATACAGTCTAATAATAATAATAATAGTAATAATAGTAATAATGCAGGATATCAACTAATGCAGCGGACAGAAAGGTCTCATTCTGCACGGATGTCGACAAGTCGATAATCGTGCACAATTTCGAGAAACGGGGATGGGTGCAGGTCGGGCCGGAGGACGACTGGAATTTTTATTGGTAAAGTAGAAAAATTACGAGTCAATTTGATCGATGGGACCGGACGAATAAATATTGACTGGCTATTGTTGCTACAGGGCGGCCACTCAGTCTTGCAGGACGATATTCAGCGTAGAAATCGGATACAGGATGGACGACAAACAGTGCGTTATTTCCCGTCGAAAATAGCAATAAATATTGATAGCCATTAACCGAGTACTACGCGGTATTGTATTCCCCGGCCTAGGATGATCAATCATTTCCCGAATCATTACGAACTCACGCGGAAGGACTTGCTCGTGAAGAATATCAAACGGTACCGGAAGGAACTGGAACGAGAGGGAAACCCTCTGGCGGAAAGAGGAGACGGTCCAGTCAAATATCTTTACCTTGACTTCATTCCTGTCACGTTTGTTCTACCAGCAGGCACAGTATCAACTTTTAACTGTGCCCGAATAATTTATTATAAACGCAAGCGCTACGTTTACCAGCGGTTACTCGATATTCGAATCTAAATAAATTAGCTTGATCTACACAGATTACAACATGTTCGTGGAAGAGTACCGGAAGTCGCCCCAAAGCACGTGGATCATGAAACCGTGTGGAAAGTCTCAAGGAGCTGGGATCTTTCTGATCAACAAGCTAAGCAAACTGAAGAAGTGGTCCCGAGAAGCGAAGAACCCGTTCAATCCGAATTTGACCAAGGAATCGTATGTTATATCTAGGTGGGCATCGTTTGCTTGTTGAAGAACAATTAAAATGGAACATTTATTGTCATACATTTGTAGATACATCGACAATCCCCTCTTAATCGGTGGCAAGAAGTTCGATCTACGATTGTACGTTCTCATCACGTCCTTTCGTCCACTGAAGGCCTATCTGTTCAAGCTGGGCTTCTGTCGATTTTGCACTGTCAAATATGACACTAGCATACAAGAATTGGACAACATGTACATACACCTCACGAACGTGTCCGTGCAAAAGCATGGCGTGAGTTCTGCTTCGATAGAGCTTCATATTTTTCAAGATTTCTATTGGCTCTGGACATTATCGTTGCATTGCGCTCTAGCCCTTTGTCCTACGGTTTCTGTCGCGAAGCAAATGATTTTAACACATTGAATGCCACGCCGGTTTTACAGAAATTGCCCGTGCCGCCACGATGAATTTTCTTTTATGTAATACAGATAATGTTGAAATATTATCTGCAATAGATAAGTTACAGTGTACAACGATGTTTAACATGTTAATTGCAACGGGGATCACAGTTTGAATTGACGATGGTAATAATACAAAATATTAGATACTGACATTTATAATAATATAATATATAATAATAATAATAATATAATAATATAATAATATATAATAATATAATATATAATATATATATATTTCAATTTATAGGCGCGCCGGTCACCGGTGGCCCCCATGGCATCGCCGCCAAGTTAAGTGCCAGTCACCGGTGACCCTCGTGGCATTCAACGTGTTAAAACAAACCGTCAAAGTGTGCCTAAACCGATTTATTTCGGGCTAGGACCCGTGGAAAGTGCTTTACTGCTTCCACACGGTTTACGATTACGTACAGTAAAGTAATAGAAGTCTTTAATTGTTTGCCCTTTAGGAGGAGTATAACTCGAAGCACGGTGGCAAACTGAGCGTGCACAATTTGAGATTGTACCTGGAAAGCACTCGGGGAAAAGCAGTCACGGAAAAACTCTTCGCCAACATCACCTGGTGCATCGTGCACTCATTGAAAGCTGTCGCCCCGGTCATGGCGAATGATCGACACTGTTTCGAGTGCTATGGTTACGATATCATCATCGACAACGAGCTGAAACCGTGGCTCATAGAGGTTTTTTTAAGCTTATATATATTAATATATATTATATATATTATTATATATATATTAATATATAAGATTAAAAAAACCTCTATGAATAATTTCTATCTTTAATTATTTTTCTACTTCTAAGAAGCAAGCTCTTTTGCATCCCCGCTGCTCTAACAAATGGCTGTACGTAATCTCGAGAAACGCGCGGTATTATTTATCATATGTATATTTGGGTGATAAAGAACGGCTATATAGCGTTAGGGGCAGGCTTGGCTCCCCAACAAGGGAGGCCCTATTTTCCCCAACGCCGAGTGTCATTAGTAAAGGACCTCTCCATTCGTGTCAGTTTCAAATTACGTCAGAGGGTGCGTGTGCATGTGGGAAGGAGGGTGTCATGAAGTGTCAGCCGTGAAAGTGTAAACAGGAAAAGATAGTGAAATCTGACTCCGATGGGAGAACAGATTTTGTAAAACAATTACGCCAGAAGAATCGTTTCTTAAACTCTTAACAACTGTTCATTGCAAATTCTAGGTAAACGCTTCCCCGTCGCTGACGTCCACGACAGTGAACGACAGGATCTTGAAGTACAAATTGATCGACAATATAATATCGATCGTTGTGCCGCCGGACGGCGTTCCAGAGTAAGTTCTACAATCAATTATTTGTTTAACACCTTTCAGCAAGGATTGAATACCGGAATATTTTGAGGTATCGGTATCATACCGGTATTTGTTTCCATATTATGCGGTGCAACCGTTATTAGGTAAATCGGTTTTAATGCCGGTATTTACGGTCGATACCGGTATTTTCATACATACAGTGGTCCACAAAAGTGTTCGCACATCGTTTAAAACGCAATAATTTGTTTAAGGTTGGACTAAGTAACTTGAATTTTTTTTAGATGATAGCGGGATTACTAGACGATAATCAAAATGCTTTTTTTAAATTTTGCCATCACTTGGAATGACCAAAAAAGAAATAAAAATCTCGTTTTTTAACTTTTTCATCTGAGTCTATAAAGAAAATTTAAAAAATGCCTCTCATAGGTATCAGGAGGTTTTTATTTTTTGTTGTCACCCCAGGCAATAACAAAATTTAAAAGAGGCATTTTAGTCATTGTCTAGTAGACTAGTCCCTCTATCATCTAAAAAAAAAAATTCAAGTCGTTTAGTTGAGTTTTAAAAAATTTATTACACCTTAGAAAGTGTACGAACACTTTTATGGGCCGCTGTTAACGACAGCTTATTTTTTAGAGGGACCAAGGGCAGATAGCCTGACGCTATTTTGCTTTCGGTCAATTTATGGTAAGGTCACGGTTTCGCGTAGCGTCGAGTTCCTCTCGACGGACAAACCCCAGATGGTGTCCAGTGTCCGGCATCTCGAAGTTATGCGGATACTTCATAGGACGCATTTGTTGACACGTGTTTAGAAAGTTAGGAATCTTCAAGTACGACAGGCGACCTCAGGTCGTACCGCTTCCTTAAAGAACAAGGATAGTTTTTTTTATGTATCTGGCCACGGAGTGGGAAAGGCAGGGGTGTCTTTTGGTAAAAAAGGGGACTGTGATTGACCGCTTAGCATATACCCCAGAACCATTGAGGCAAACGTTCCTTGCAATGACTTGCATACTTGTAAAAATACTGAAGTATGCATATACCGGTATAATGCCGGTATTCCTGAGAACAATATAAACTTCAGAGATTGAATCAGAACTAAAATTAAAACATAATTGGATGAAACATAATAGAAACCATATTGAACAGAATGTAATTAAAATACATACAATGAATTGAATGACAGACGACGATCTACCTAGAGGACAAGGTCCCTCTCTTTATCTCTAGTATCTTTATTTCTATCTTTATTTCTACTATATCTCTATCTCTACTGTCTCTATCTCCATTGTCTCTATCTCTACTGTCTTTATCTCTACTCTCTCTCTCTCTCTCTCTCTCTCTCTTTCTCTCTCTCTCTCTCTCTCTACTGTCTTTATCTCTACTCTCTCTCTCTCTCTCTCTCTCCTGTCTTTATCTCTACTCTCTCTCTCTCTCTCTCTCTCTCTCTCTCTCTCCTGTCTTTATCTCTACTCTCTCTCTCTCTCTCTCTATTCTCTCTACTTTCTCTCTCTCTCTATCTCTACTACCTCTATTTCTACTATCTCTATCTCTACTGTTTCTATTTCTACTGTCTCTATCTCCATTGTCTCTATCTCTACTGTCTTTATTTCTACTCTCTCTCTCTCTCTCTCTCTCTCTCTCTCTCTCTCTATCTATCTATCTATCTATCTCTACTACCTCTATCTCTACTGTCTCTATCTCTACTGTTTCTATCTCTACTGTCTCTATCTCTACTGTCTCTATCTCTACTATCTCTACCTCTACCTCTATTATCTCTATCTCTATCTCTATCTACCTATATATCTATCTCTATGTACTGTTGCCAGGATAATGACAAATAATGACAACGTTATACTTATCAGTCAGTTACTTGTAATTGGAATGAATTCAGAATAAAATGAATATTTTTCCTCGAGCATTTTCCTTTTACTATTTGTGCATTTAAAAACTAATAATCTCATTTCTATATTCCTGAAACCATGTTTTTCGTACCTTCTAACTTGTGATTCTTTTTTCTATTCTAACATACTGGTATTATACCGAAATACATACATTTATATCGGTATAACGTCAATGCGGCGACTTCATACCGGTATTATCGCGGTATTTCCTGTAAAATTAGTAGAACAACTACCTAAAAAATATACCGGTATTTTATCGATAAATGTAACACCGATTCAATTTCCGTCTTTCAGTACATTGTTTTATTTGCAGCGTCAAGTGGAACAAGTGTCCGCTTCCGGAAGCCCTGGGCAATTTCGAACTACTTTTGGATGAAGAAATCTGCGCGCAGGAGGAAAAGGAGAACTCTAATAAGAATCGAGCATCTTCGAGCAAATGGAAATAACTGTTTGATCAGAAGCAATTGAAGTGTATTTCCCGAAGCATTGAACAAGTATTTCTGTTGTTTAGAAACAGGAGAATAAAAATTATAACTGTGAGGATACACTTCGAATGTAAATAATTGAAGATACGATTTAATTTAACTCTGATCAGAAAGAAAATCTTGTAAAGATCGTTCCTTTGTTTTCTGTCGACTTCTTTTACAAAACTATTCGAAGGAGCGCACTCGACGATCGATACAATTTATAGAATCTGTAAAAATTAATTGCTAGTGTTTAGAACAATCGTGTCAAATATCGAAACACTCTTTAGATCGTGTGCCGAGAGAGGGTTCAAATTGCGAAGCATGCGTAGATGCGTGGAATAGGTTCTGCGATCATCGCGCATGTACCAAAACTTCCAAATGCGTGTCCCTTGGAGTATTTTGCTTGTACCCGCATGAAATCTGTTGATAAACCGAGATTCCCCGTAAAATACGCGTCGCAGCCGTCACGTTGACAAACACGAGCTATCGGCCGGGCTAATAAATTGCGTTAAATCCTCGCGGATGCGTTATGTCCGTCCGCATATAAGGGTGAATGTCTCGCGGGGGTGGCTTAGATGTGTTCGAACCGGTGCGGCGCTCTGTCACATGATCCGCTAAATTCCTTATCGAACTACAGAAAAACATCATTTCTATCAATTCTTCAGCGATCTTTTAAATCATGCATTTCAATCGTCGGATCATGTGGATCAAACGTATAGCTTCGCGATGCTGAAAGAAATTACAGTGACCATGGTGGATGTTCCGCGGTATCGCGCGTTTCCAGTGATTGTGAAGTTTCTGGTTCTCGTTGGGATTTCTCGGGCGCTTGGATACGTCAACGTCGCCATGGGTAAGGCTCTGTGTTTCCTTCAACATTTTTTTTGGAAGTCGTAAATTAGGGGTTCTTTTGTAATCGGCGGTCTACCATCCAGTTTCGTTTTCACAAAATTATGTAGCTTCTAGCTAGCTAATTAGCAGCTTCTTCGGGAACTATTAACAAATCAATCTTGCCTGTGAAAAATATGAGAACGTTATATGTATAAGAGAGAAACAAGCGGTTCTTCGAATGAAAAATAAATGCGAATTTGTCCGCGTCTGCAACACGTGCAGTGCTCGAAGACGATCGAGGGATCCTTGTCCCGATTTTTCTAAAACAACTTGAAAGTCTATTTAAATGAATAACGCGCGTAAAGGTCTGATCACGACAAACGCATTAAATGAAATGAAGAAAACCCATTTGATCAGCGAGCAAGGATGACACGACGCCGTCCCGCGTCCCTTTCTTTCGGTGTCACGGGCAATTGCGCGTACGAATGAAATAAACATCGTTTCTGTGCGATTTGTTTCGACGACCGAGAGCAGGGAAAATCGTCCATTCGAGTCTCGATCGCTGCAGCTGTTGAACACCCCTTTTCCCGATCGATCTCGCACCTACCCCGTTCTTATCTCGGCGGTTTCTGGGATCCACGCAGCGGATCACGGGAACAGCCCGAGAATCTACAACGTCGGTGTACTGATGGCCTCGCACCTGAACAGCCCATTCGATCTTGAAAGGTGCGGACCAGCTGTCGACTTGGCCTTGGCCGAAGTGAACGACTTCCTGAACGTCCACAACGTGCAACTGCGCAAAGTCCAAGGAAGGTAAGCCGGAGAATCTTCACTTGTCAACGTCCTCGGATTCGGTTCCCCCGGTTTTCCTTTTTTCAGGAGGATTCCCTCGCTCCTTTGAACCGGAAAAAAATATCAAACGGGGGGCAAAAGAGGGCCGCGTTTTGTCCTAGATACCGACGACCCTGTAAGTTGATCCGCGTTCTGACCACGCGTTCTACCATCGCTTCCACGTCGTTACATTAATCCAATTGGACAAACGTTTGCATACAAAAAATCCGGGACTCCGGTCCGCCGCGGGAGCTCGTGCTCCGATATGGTTATGTGAAATCGTCCAAATTCTGCGTAGGCTGTCTCGGGAAAAGCTCTTTCTCCTCGTGAACAATCGACCGGCGTTTTTCTACCAGAATTCAGCGAAGTTTGGCGCTGGTTTTGCTTTTGATTCTCCGCAGCGATCTGGTTGATCTTAATTCAGACACGGCTTAGACCACCCCTCTGCTGTGTACAGTAAATTCTCCCTAATTCGCGCTGAGATTGTGCACAAAAATAAATAATTTGGGTAGAGAAGACACGATTATTCGAGCCTTGCCGCTCGTTTTTTTAGTTATCGATTGTCAACGATTACAAAAACGAACCGCGAAGCTCGAATAATCGTGTCTCCTCTTCCCAAATTATTTATTTTTGTGCACAATCTGAGCGTGAATTAGGGAGAATTTATTGCAATTTGTTCTGCAGCTTCAGTGATTCGAACGTCCCTGTCGTCGATAATTTTCTAAGAGGCGAAACAGTCGAAGTGTTCATCATTATGACAGTAGAAAGCAGGGTGGAACCCGAGAAATCCTGAGGGATGAATTTTTTTTCTTTTTATATATCTCCGATGTACTTTACAATTTGTCCAGTAAGGACATTCGGTAAATTTTTATATTGTTTTTATGTATAGCTAGCACGTAGATGCTTCTTCAGTTGCAGATACAGTAATGTCTCCCTAATTGACACACAAATTGTGCACAAAAATGGACAATTTGGGAAGAGGAGATACGATTATTCGAGCCTTGCAGTTCGTTTTTATAGTTGTTGACAATTCATTTATAGGTGTTAACAATTCCCAAATTGTCTATTTTTGTGGACAATCTGAGCGTCAATTATCACTCGTCATGAATGGCAAGTAAGGAGTTCCTTGAGATGTTTCTTGCGTAGTCTTCTAGGTAGATTTGCCGTGTACAGTTCCTTAACTAGGTCATTTAGATGATTTTCTAATCTTGGTTTATATCTGTCACTTAGTCGTTCAATTTCTTCCGATACTGGTTTAATTTGGAGGTCTTTGTGTAGTTGATCATCGCGCGCGTACCATGGCGCATTTACAACAGTTCTCAGAATATGGATTGTAGTGATTCCAGCTTTTTAATATGAATTTTAGCTACCATGTCCCACAGCTTGATCCCGTACGATTGGGTTAATTAATTATGTGGCAAAATTATCGTTTTATATATCAGCAATTGATTATCTGCACTTAGTTTAGAGTGCCTGCTAGTAAGCCAATACATATTTCTTCTATTTTAGAAGATTATTTATTCGCATTTATTTTGGCTCTCATGTGGTGTTTCCACGTAAGTCGTGAGTCTAAGTGCATACCTAGGTATTTTACTATCTCGATCTGAATTATTATGACATTGTTTATAGTAACAGGCAAAACAAGCTTTCGTTTAACCCATTACTCGCCGAAATTCAAAAATACAAAAAAAGATTAAATTAAGATTATTAGTTTCAACCTGAAATTTACAATGATTTAAAACAAAACAGCGGGAATTCTTAATACTTTCATAAAGCACGTGATATGTTCTCACTATTTTTAATAGTAAGTATTTGTATTTTATTCAGTGGTTGCAGTTTTTAAAAGAAAAATATGTGAAAAAGTGTCCCAAGAAAGAGACACTGACGGATAATAGATTAATGTGAATGTAATGTGTTTGCATTTGTCAGCATTTACTTTTATTTTCCATTTGTTTAGCCACACTTCAATTTGAAGTAGCTGCTGTTGTAGCATGAAAGGTGCAGTTTTAGGATTTTCATGACTAGCTAAAATAGCCGTATCATCAGCAAAGGTGTATAGCGTGGTTTCTTGCGAGATAGGAATGTCAGCAGTATATAATGTGTATAATATAGGCTCTGAGACACTTAAGGGACGAATAATAGGAGCAACATTAGCAGCAAACAACGTTTGCTCCCTTATCCTCGGTCGCAATCTTCTACGCGTGGCCATTTTCGGCGATGGGACGACCTGCTGGTGTAGAAAACGGTGGTCCAGCTTGATGGTTATCGAAAGCAAAGAATACCGCGCAGGAACAAGAGCGAACGACTTGATGGATGATCACGTTCCGGGAACGCAAACATCGTACGATCGAATCACCGGGCAGGGTGGCAGACAATCGAACCGTTGGTATAGACAAGGAGAGAATCCTGGAGAGAGAATCCGCGGATGTGCGACCAGTGATCGATAATTGGGGGTCACGGAATGCTGTGTCACTCCGGTTGTAACTAACAATTTGACATAATGATAGATCAATCGTGGCAACGGTGAATGGGCAATGATTGCACCCTGGCCGATACACGAGGAATTACCGTCTTCGGTTACCCCCTACGCTAACGAATTATAATGCGACCGGCACCCGCTGGGGAATTAAACATTTCGCTTTAGAGAAAATCCTCGATGAAATCCCGATCGCCGGGGATTACTTCGCTGATCCGATTTTTATTAGAACGGCTAAGCTTGTGTAGATCTTCTGTTCTCGCTGGGAAATTGTGAACGACAGAGGGGCTCTAATCACATTGTAGCTGCGAGGAACTAAAGTGGAATGTTGTATGAACAAATATTCTTCCAAACGCTGATCGCAGAAGAAATGATTAGATCACGTTGCTGTGAAATCGTTCAAAGTGCGGTCTCCAAACTTCGACGCGCTAATCGTGCGGCAACCGTTGCGAATTTCTTCGAAGAAGAAGTATCGAACAATTTAATTTCAACCGTGGTACACTTTCGAAATGACAATAGAGGAATGTACTCGATTTTGTTAAATAACAATGCGAATTTTCCTCAATGTTACAACGACAGCAATAAAAGCATCTGGAAAGACAGTTATTTGCTGGCGCACTCGGTATTTTGTTACAGTACACAATTTTATATTAAAAATCTATTATAATTAAACTATTTAATAATATGGTTCAATTGATTATATTATAATAGATTATTAATAGAAAATTGAAAATACGTACAAACGAAAATTCAATGAAAAATGAACTTTCGGAGCTTATATAACGGGCTCCTAAAATCAGATCGGTCGGAAAAGTAGGCTTTCGTGGAACTAATTGGACGATTGTGATTTTCCGGGGGAACGTTAGCTATCCATCATGCAGCGGAGCAATGGCACCTGGTCTGGCCGCCGACATGTACTTCCGAGACAACGTGATAGCGTTCGTAGGTCCAGCGTGTGCGTTCGCCCTGGAACCGGTCGCGAGGCTCGCGGCCTATTGGAACACGCCGATTATCACAGGAATGGGCGACCAAGTATGTTTTCGCACGATCGACGCGATGAATAAAAGATCCTCTCAGATTGTATAATCGTAATATTTTCCAACGGACAAGCCACCGTCGGAAGGCGAGTTGTCCGTAACCTCCGGCATCCTCGGCAGAATCAATAAATGGAAAAACGAGAGCTCGGTAAGGAAACTGGCGCTGGACTCTAGGAGGTCTCTCCTGTGTTTGCATGTCTTTTTGCTCGTTAACGTTAATCGATGGAGCTTCCCGTAATTATCGCGTGCGCGCCCTTTACTCCCGCGAAAGAAGAACACGATGCGCTTCGCTCCTTCGTTCTAGCTATCTCTGCAGCTTCCTGCGCGTATTTATGACTCCATTAGTATTCTTAATTAACCGTGGCCTTGTTAGAACAACCAGGACAGCTTATCCGGTTTACCAGGTGGCCCCGCGGTTTCCTTGTTACATCGTTCCCCCTCCTGCTTCTCGTTAAAGGGCATTTTCAAGGACAAGAGCAAGTATCCCACCCTGACCAGGATGTCCTACTGCCAGTGCCGGCTGCGACTGGTCTTCTCCAGCATCTTTAAAGAGTTCGGCTGGTCCCACGTGGCCCTGATACTGGACAGATCGGATCTGTTCTCCTGGACCGTGGGCAAGAATCTGGAGTATGGCCTGAGGAAGGAAAAGCTGCTGAAGTATATCAGAGAACTCGATGGCAATTCAGCGCACGAATCTTATCAGTCTTATCTGGAAGATGCCAGCATGTACGCCAGAGGTAGATCACGACTAGTCAACGATGTTTATAGGTAAATAAACAAGGATTCTAAGATGCCTCCTGTTCCTCGTAGTGTTGATCCTTAGTGTTCGAGGGACCTTGGTCCGGAAGTTCATGATAGCTGCCCACGATTTGGGGATGACGAGAGGAGATTGGGCGTTTCTCGATGTCGAGATATTTCAGGTAAACGGAGAGTCCAAACACCGAGTGATCTGAGAGCTTGATCACTTTTAATCTGTATTAGGGTTCCTACTGGGGCGATCACGACTGGGAAGTCGGCGATAAAGACGACGCAGTGGCAAGGAAAGCTTACGAAGCTCTGCTGAGGGTGTCCCTGCTGCAACCAACAAGCCCGAGGTTCCAGGATTTTGCGGAGACAGTGCGACAAAGGGCGCAAACCGACTACAACTATACCTTCTCCGAAGGGGAGGAAGTACGCACAGTTCGAATTGACCGTTCGTTTAATAGATAATAATAATAAAATTGAGATGTTTATACAGAAAAATAATTTGTCGAAAGGTTCGCTTGATACAGTGAACACGCATCTACGCTTCTGGACAAAAGTTAATCAACTTACATGCTTTAACACACTTCAACAATATTCTTTGCTTCGAAAAATTTACGTTTCGCCAGCTTATGGGCTTTTTTGCACACTGTGCGTACGTCTCCGTGTATAAATATCCTAGTGAACCTCCAGCAACGATGAACTTCCATCTACAATTGCTCTAATCGTTCTACAATTCCTCTCGAGCTGCCTCTAAAATTAAAAAGAAAAAAGATCATGCTCTACTTTCCAGGTGAACTTCTTCATCGGAGCGTTCTACGACGGTGTTTATCTGCTTGGCATTGCTCTGAACGAGACCTTAGCCGAGGGTGGCGACATACGGGACGGCATTTCAATAACTAGGAGGATGTGGGACCGCGACTTCATTGGTATTACGGGGCACGTGAGGATCGACGACAATGGTGACCGCGACGCCGACTACAGTATCCTGGATTTAGATCCTATCACTGGAAGGTCAGCGGCAATTAAGCCGGCAATTCCTTCGACTGTTTGCCATGCTAATCAAGCCCCATTCTCCGGCGGACCAGCCGTTGAGAATTTAGTTTGGGGTTTGCATTAACATACCCTGAATAATGTTTCACGATATTAATTGTGAAGACAAAAATTCGCCAGGTTCGAGGTGGTCGCCCATTATCTTGGATTGAACCGGGAGTACAGCCCAGTCCCTGGGAAGAAGATTCATTGGCCAGGAGGTCGGGAGGGGCCTCCGGCCGATGTTCCCGAGTGTGGATTCCTGGGGAACGATCCTGCTTGCACGTCGAGGACCGAGGCTTACACCTTCGTTGCTTATACGAGTCTAGCGCTTGCAGCCTTCTTGCTGGCTGCTATCGCTGCCACGTGCGTTTTGTACAGGCAGGCAAATTTCTTTCTTTCAGCGTACAGAGCGTTCTTAAGTTAGAAATTCTAGAAGCAGAAACTGTCTTCCGTCAATTCTGTTGGATTTTGTGCTGCTTTCTCTGGTGTTAGTACATTTTAAACGATCGATTAATGACAAGTTATTTGTATGAGAAATAGCAGAAACCTCGTGGAGCAATTTGCGAATAGACCGAGAATGTTTATGCAAAATAAAAATTGATTCGCTCATTTTCGCGCTAAAATTTATGACTACAGATCGGGGAGAGATAAAGAACCGAAACCGATATCATAACTGCTTTCAATCCCTGCTTGAAATTAGCTACTTGCGAGATGCTGCGCCTCTTCAGGTTTGAAATTGTTGTGCTAACTAGAACGGATTTTTCTCAGACACTTGAGACTGTCAGCGGATCTGAACAACATGTCCTGGAGGATCAGACCCGAAGAGCTGCTGCTGGAAATAGGAAAGCCGTTCTCGTCGAAGATCAATTTGCATCAAGCTATATCCGAGGTGAGTGCACCACGCTGCTTATTGCTACCTTTAATTTAAGAGATGAATCGATGTTTAAAAAATATTGTTCGTGATGAAAGAATTTTGGATTGGAGCAACGTATACGAAGAGGATCGCAGCTAAGCTGTGACTCCCTGCCGTTGAACACAGTGTTCACTACGGTGGGGATTTACAAAGGTGAGAGGGTAGCTATCAAGAAGATCACCAAGAAGAAGGTGGTGGACATCACGAAGAAGTTACTGTGGGAGATCAAGCAAGTGAGGGACGTTACTTCAGAAAATACTGTCAGGTACAATACTAATTTAAGTAGACAGTGTCTTGAAACTGATGCAAAGAATTTTTATTCTGCATGAAGATTCACAGTCTGCTAATAATAATTATAATAATAATTAGTCTTTGGATCTTTATGCAGAAAGAAAATTGTCTGTATCAATTTTAAGAGAAACGTAATTCCTTCTTTAATAATCTTAACAAGTAAAAAATCGCATGTTAATATTCCTAAATCCGATTAATCTTTTCACAATCAGAAATGCACAAAATCTATAGTCTAATAATAGTAAATTATTCTTGCACGTACTTACATAGGTTCATCGGCGCCTGCCTCTGTTCTCCATCACCGACGGTTCTGATCCTGACCGAGTACTGTCCCCGTGGATCCTTGAAGGACGTGTTGGAAAACGACGCTATCAAGCTCGACTGGAACTTCCGGATGTCTTTGATTCACGATATAGTAAAGGTGAAACCGTCGTGAAAATACATTAATTAATTGGAGCACATGTGTAAGGAATTCTTCAATTTACAGGGGATGTCTTACCTTCACGCTAGCGAAGTTTCAGCCCACGGGAAGCTCAGGTCCTGCAACTGTCTGATCGACGGCCGCTTTGTCTTGAAGATTTCAGACTTCGGGTTGAAGACTTTAACTACGCCATCGGACTTAATCATGGACGATATTTATTATACTAGTATGTTGAAGATAACGTGACAATCTACGTTTAATGAGAACGTTCTGGTAAAAATCACTGATACCGGAGATAATGATTGTTTCGTAGAATTATTATGGATCGCACCGGAGCTCCTGCCATTGACAGTGACTCCAGGAAGTGCGGCGACCCAGAAGGGAGATGTTTACAGCTTCGCGATCATTTTGGAGGAAATCGTAGTACGCGGAGGACCTTATGAGACTGTTAAAGGGTTCATAACTCCTCAAGAGGTACAACCGATCACGAAAATCCGCCTAAATTAAACAATGATATTGATAATTTACGTTAAAGATTGTCAGCCGCGTCGCAGGATCCGAGACACCGCCTTTCCGACCGGAAGTGACGCCAAAAGACTGTCCTCCGGACATCCTATTTCTCATGGAGAAGTGTTGGAACGAGATAGCAGACGAACGACCCACTTTCCACGCTATTCGTGGCACCATACGAGGCATTATGAAGTAAAAGTCATAGTTTCCCAAGAAAAATTAGCATTACATTAAAATTACAAATATCAGCGAGGCGCAGAGGAAACTAATTTATAATTAGAGCACCATAATTCGAAGTTAAATGCTGTAGAAGATATAGTAACGAGTTCTGTAGATTTGAAATGCACGATGCTAGAGAAGTCATTGAGAAAGTTTCTGCGAGCAAATTAGCATTTTAATTCCGCAGGGGCTACTGCGAGAACCTGATGGACGACTTGCTGAGGCGAATGGAGCAATACGCGAACAATTTAGAGGCTCTAGTCGAGGAGAAGACAGAGCAGTTAAGTTTAGAAAAGCGCCGAAGCGAGGAACTCCTCTATCAAGTCCTGCCTAGGTGGTTCTGCATTTTACAGCGAAACGTGTTACTTAAAATTAATGAATATAAATCGTTGAAACTAAATTTTAGGCAAGTCGCGTGCCAGCTGATGGCAGGAGAACTCGTCCAGCCCGAGCAATTCGAATGCGTGACAATTTACTTCAGTGACATAGTCGGATTCACTGCTCTTTGCGCTCAAAGTACACCGATGGAGGTGGTAGACTTCCTGAATGATCTCTACAGCACTTTCGACCGAATCATCGAATTCTACGACGTCTATAAGGTATAGTCTCGGACACGCGTCTGAATTTTGTATGAAATTAATCGAAGCTGACAATCGCAGGTGGAGACAATAGGAGACGCGTACATGGTGGTTTCCGGTCTACCAGAAAGGAACGGCGACGGCCACGCTAAAGAGATCGGCCTGATGGCGTTGACTATACTAGACTCCGTGAAATCGTTTACTATAATGCATAAACAAAATGCTCAGCTGAGTGTCAGGATTGGTGTACATAGCGGACCTGTTTGCGCTGGCGTGGTGGGCCAAAAAATGCCCCATTATTGTCTATTTGGGGATACGGTGAACACTGCATCGAGAATGGAGTCCTCGGGGCTACGTAAGTAATGAAAAGTTAAACAAAATATTTGCAAAAGATGAAAGAAATTAAAGAAAGAAAAACATTTGTTGACGCAGCGTTATGTATACACGTATCCGAGGCAACGAAATGCATACTAGACAAGTTTGGTACCTTCGACCTAGAGCTGAGGGGTGAGGTGGAGTTGAAGGGCAAGGGAAGGGTCACTTCCTATTGGCTGAAGGGATGCTCGGAATCGGATCCTAGGCCACCAACTCCGAAATACAGAAGGCACAGCGCTAGTTCACCGGAGAACAATCTGAACCCTCTGATCTTCCCGCCGAATAACACAAACGGGCCGAAAACGAACAACAACACATTCATTAACTTGTCCGAGCTACAATAGGTCGACGCGATTGTTAATCATAATTATAATAAATTTATTTAATTTTCATCTATTACAATGTGTCGAAAATTAAGATATTAGGTGTATGACATAGTAAGTTTTAAATATTAACAAAAAGGATGTGTAACAAACATCGACCGGCAGACACGCGGGCTGAACGATGGTCCACACTTGATTGCACGGCTACATGAAAAATGTAATCTTTAATTTTTGTCGGCGCAGACTACTGTCGAGGGACGGTTCATTCATCCCACCTGCCCGACGACGGCGATCTACGTAATAAAGCTTGCTCTGTCTTGGCTCAAAGAAACAGCAAAGTGTATGAACGAAGTTTTGAACCAAACCGAATCGTCGTTTTATTTTTCGTTTCCAAAAGTAAATTGCATACTAGTTTCGCTACAACTTTGTGCCGCGCTATGTTTTTTTTCTTATTAACACAGTGTACATTGTCAGTGTATATGCGTGTATAGACTACAGCAGAATTAGCATCTTTAGTTTTATTATCGTTACGGTTATCGCTACTATAATAATTGATTATAAATCTCTGTGATCTATGCTCTTATCGCTGTTAAATCTAAAATGTTATGTCAATAAATCATTTGCCATCAAATCTTGACAACAATAATTACGGTGTGAAACTACTTGGACGCCAGGAACATTATTAGTCTGGAAAAAAGAAGGTTTGCTTGAACGGTTCTTTGTTTCATAAAATAATAGGATTAACTATGCAATCGAGTCTTACCTGAAACTAATTGCCCTAGCTGCAAGAAGTCTATTGCACTCTGCTGTGTCGGGTAAAGGTAGAGGTAAGTAAGGGCTTTCGTTCTCCTGGTCGGTGAACTCGAATCTGTGGATTCTTGGTTGTACTTTCATGTCCCCGAAAGGTCCCTTCAGTATCAGATAGTGAAGCGGCAATGGGTACGTTGTTTTTGTCTTCAGGATCAGCTAAAAAAGGTAATAATCATTCGCATTACACAATGTCTTCTCATATGGACTAGGCGTTAAGTTCTTAGGTACCTGATAAGTCATGTCCCTTTCAGAGCTCTGAGTGGGATCACGTTGACTATTATTGATCCTCGCTTTGACAACCCATTGGTTGTTAAACGCCGTGAAACGAGAGGTTTCGTAAAAGAGTTTGTGGACAAACTCGTCTGTACGATACGGCTTCATTTGTAAATCTATAAACGACGAAATTCTACAAATAGATTACACCCTAGATCTCTGTTGCGGGATGAGAATGGAAAGCTTATAGGGGATTAATATCTGAACTTCTAAAGTAGTTAAAGCTAACGCGCTTGATGAAAGGGAGCAACTGTTCCTGCTGCTGCTGGACAAGGCAGAAAAGAAACAGGTGTAACAAACATGTTCTGTGTCTGGGTTAAAGATAAATGGATGATCAATTTAGTCAAATGAGAGATTTGAAGGCCTTAATACATGAGAAACAGATACAGACCGTTAAATGTGATTTTCTCGTAGGACAAAAGATCAAAGACATTGTCATACAGCCTACGTTCCTCGAGAGTACGGGCGTCGATGTCACGCAGAGCCTCCATAACGTCCAACCCTGTACGATGAGGATGAACGCACTGCGCTTCATGTTCTGGACGTTCGTGGTTGGGTCCACGCCATGGACAGCCGATTCTACTGTACTTGCAACTGGATATTCTATAAACAGACCACAAATGTCGATATCAGAGATATTTCTCATTTAAAGCTCATTGGGTATGCTTACCTTTCTTCACACATTGTCTCTTCATGACGCTCCAAGGAGTTTCTTGGAAACTCCTTAGCGCAATACTGACATTCAGCTGGTAACTCAGACACAGCTTTCTCAACTGCCAGATTTCGAGATGGAGATGTTCTGCTGATCTCGATTCTGCAGTTGGGACACGTTGCCATTTCATCTCTCAGCCTGGCATCTGCGAGGACATGAGTGAAGCAACCGGCACACATCAAGTGTCCATTTGTACACTGTGAACATTGTTGCAGCATGTATTACTAGCATTCTCGTCTTGGAGCTTCTTAAAAAAGATAAGCCTAGTTTTGTTGAAACATGTTAACAAATCCAAGGTATATATAGTTTGTGACAAAGTATGCACAACTGTATGCAAAATTGAATTTCATTCTTTATGCTCTCAATAAATGGTGCGAAATTATTTATTTTGCACAAGTTATATCATACTATGCTCCTTTCTCAACAGATACATACAACCCTCTCAACGATATTTAACAAAACTAGAATAACAAAACTAATGCCATGTATATTACCATGATTTTGATGTTTTTTAAACCTGAAACACAAAATCGTAGTAGTACTATTAATAAGTCAAGTAATCATTGGTACAAAACCGGTAAGTTTAAATCAATGGTGAATGCCATCATTAATGCTGCCAATATATCAATAATAGAAAGGAATAGAACAGGATAATGATGCATGGGATAAGTGAAAAAGGGTTTCGTATGCGAAATAACTAACTAATAACCTTTGAGAATATTTATTTTGTTTAATTGCTCGTCAACTATACATGTTATACAGATCTTCTAGAAATACGCTTTCTCTCTCTCACTCTCACTCTCTCGCTGTTTATTATAAGCAATGAACATCAATTTCGCATGGGTCTACAATCACTTTTCCTAGTAACTAGATTTTTGGATGTTTTTTCCATTTAGATTAAATTCTTACAATAAAACACAATACTTTGTAATGGGAAGATATCATTATCATAGTAAGTGCTAATAACTATGATGGGTCTGGTGGCTTAATTGTCCCTTTACCTCCCTAACAACTGACTATTGGAATACCAACAAGAATGAAGTTGAAGTTTGAATTACTTGTGCACACTTATAAAAATCAAATGCTGTGTGTACTGTCTACAAATCCACAGATATGTAAGTACAACTTGTGAACCATGGTAAATAAAAAATGGTACAGTATGCACCAGACGGCGCACTGTATAACTTACATGTAAGAGCCTCTATTCTGATAGGACAAACGCAACATTCCTCCCAGTGTTTTACAGTTAATGCAGACACTGAATATAGAATGCATTACATATATGTATATATATTTCAGTTAATAGAATTCAAAAAGAGAACGACAGAAAACAAAATATAATAGTATAGATAGACTGGAATTGCTACAAATTTAATGACAAGGGAGTGTTCTGTAAATAAATATTACTAAAAAATGAGATTGTTACTTAGGCATGCATACATACAATAATTCTCTTTAGTTTATTTAATTCATGTAGGGGTTCTCAAAATTCGCATAAATGTACATTTGTAATGAGAATTACTTTACATGCATGCGTA